TAGTAGTAGTAGTAAGAGTGGTAGGAGTAGAAGAAGGAGTAAGAGTAGTAGTAGTAGTAGTAGCAGCAGCAGTAGTAGTAGTAGTAGTAGTAGTAGTAGTAGTAGGAGTAGAAGTAGGAGTAGGAGTAGAAGTAGTAGTAGTAGTAGTAGTAGTAGTAGTCGTAGTAGTAGTCGTAGTAGTCGTAGTAGTAGTAGTAGTAGTAATCGTAGTCGTAGTCGTAGTCGTAGTTGTAGTAGTAGTAGTAGTAGTAGTAGTAGTAGTAGTTGTAGTAGTAGTAGTAGTAGTAGTAGTAGTAGTAGTAGTAGTAGTAGTAGTAGTAGTAGTAGTAGTAGTAATAGTAGTTGTAGTAGTAATAATAATACTAGTAATCGTACTTTGGTCGTGAATAGGGCGGACATTTCCGCGCTACTTCTCAAGCTCCTCTGATGTCGATTTCAGCTCCACTTTGCCGTCGCTGCTTCCGCAGTACCTTTGTGGAAATATCCGCCCTCCTTGCCTGAGGCGGAAACTTCCGCCCGAGGTTGTCGCAGCGTTCGGCGTGCATTTCGGACAAAATTGCCAAGCAGAAAACCAGCAAGATTACTGCAGATCCGAGGCCAGGGAATGGGGGGCAAGAAACGTGAGGTGAAGAACCGCACACCTTCCGCGCACACATTTTCGGCTCGCGGCTGGGAATTGGGGGCCACTTTGAGCCCCCTTTGGGGTCACCGGTCTATCAGAGTCCTCGTCCAAGGGGCCCTGCTCATCATGACCCCTCCCTGTCTCCTCTGGATCCCCTCCTGGATTGCCACACAAGGAGCGCCGCGTCTCGAGGGACACGGGTCCTGGTAGCCGGGCCGGCGTTTCATCACGAGTGGTGCTCTGACGGCTCCGAGGCGCTGGCAGGGCCCGGAGGGCCTGGAGGGCCCGAGAACGGCGAAAAAACCCCAGGACCCGTTTCTCTCAAGACCCCTTGCCTTCATGGCGGCCCCGAAACTTGACCCCCAGACCTCCCCAGGGGGCGCGTTCTGACCAGATCTTCGAGGCGGACCCAGCCTTGGCGATGAGGAGCTTCCCAGAGACCATAAGACAAAGAACGCCCCCTCATCCTCCATGGCGACCCCCGTTTCCTTCATGGCGATCTCCCCCCACCCCCGCCCGGCACACGGGCCTGCTTGTTGGCGGTGGCGAGCTCCTCAGGCAACCGCATGCGAACTCACTTCTCACTACCCCTGCAGGTCAAACTTCTGAAACGCAGGCTGGGGCAAAACCAGCCACTCGCCATCGCTCGGACGTCCATTCCGTGCGCGTTTTTCGGTGTCGTGCGTGTTTTTTTCGCCAAATGGTCAAGGATGCGCCTCGAGGAACCCGGCCGAAGGAAAAATGCACACGCCCGAGCGATGCCGAGGCCAGGTGAGCCCCTCAGCGGGGGTGTGCGGCACCCCAGCGTCGATGGGACCCGCAGGGGTCAGCCCAGACGTGCGATGTCTCTGTTTGTTCCATATGGGGCCAGGCAAGTCCCGACCCTCCCACCGGGACCGCCTTCTCCTCCTGCAGAGTCGTTTTGTTGACGGTCCTGGGGCCAGGCGAGGATCCGTTGGGGCCGAAGCGGCCAAAGCCGCCGTGATTTTCGTCGCGACGCGAGCGTGTCTGGGGGGGTCGAGGCTGGCCGCAGCCCCAGGCGGCGACGTTCGAACACGAACTGCCCCCGCCAGCCATCGGCTATCCTGGATCGATGGGCGGCGGGGGTAGCTCTCGGCTTCCAGCAAGTGCTCCGCGAGTGCCGAGCCCTGCCTCCCCCTCCCCCGCTCGTCGAGTTGCCTGCAGCGTTGGTCGGTGAGGGCGGGGTCGGGTCGGGTATGTCCCCCTGCTGGCGGATGCTGGGCGAAAAAAGGAAACCCAGTCGAAACAAACTCGAAACAGAATCCAAACAGCTACAGAACAACCGTCCCCGGACTATTTGTTTGGCTACTCTTGAACGCCCCTCCTCTAGGGGGGCCTGCCCGACTTGCGGGGCGGGGCCCGCACCCCGCCGCCGCGGGCTCCTCCGCCAGCTGCGCCAGCGTGTCCCTCTTGCTGTTCGGCGGCGACGCCCTGCCGCCCTGCAGCGGGCTGTGGTCTCGGCTGCACCTGCTGCCCGCCGCCATCCGCCCCGCGCGCGCGGCCGCGCCCGCCCGGCGGGCTGCCCGCCGCCGCGCCCGGGTCGGCTCCGGCGGCGAGCGGGCGGCCTCCTCGGGAGGCCGCGGGCCTCCTCGGAAGGGGGCGGGCCCGGGCCTCCTCGGAGGCCCCCGCGCCCTCCGAGGAGGCTCTCCTCCGTGCGCCGTCGGGGGAGGCTCCGGCAACTGCTCGGCAGGCCGGGGGACTCCCGAGCCTGCCGAGAAGGCCCGCCCCCGCTCGCTGGCCTCCCCGGGCGCGCCGCCGACAGCTCGGAGGAGGGCCCTTTCCAGACCGAGGGGCCGTCGAGAAGGGGGGTGTTCTGATGGGCCCGTTTTCCACCACCACCACCACCACCACCACCACCACCACCACCACCACCACAATTAAGTTGGAGGGGGGGGGTCCTCCTCCTCCTCCGCCTCCTCCTCCTCCGCCTCCTCCTCCTCCTCCTCCTCCTCCAACTCCTCCTCCTCCTCCTCCTCCTCCTCCTCCCCCTCCTCCTCCCCCTCCTCCTCCTCCTCCTCCTCCTCCTCCTCCCCCTCCTCCTCCTCCTCCACCTCCTCCTCTTCCTCCTCGTTCTCCACCTCCTTCCCCCCTCCAACTTATGGTGGTGGTGGTGGTGGACAACAGGCCCATCGTGTTCGCTGGATCGTGCTCCTTTCACGACGCGGGCAGGTCTGGGTGGCCCTTCCGTGAGCGAACGCCCGACCCGACCCCCTGACGTCCGCGGCGTGCTTCCCGCGGTGGCCGAACGGGCGAGCCTTCGGAGCGCAACGTGCTGAGAGGCCGGGGAGCGCGGGGTCCTCTCTCGGCGAGCGAGCGGGGGGGGGAAGCGAGAAGGGGCGGGCCTTCTCAGAAGGCTCGGAAGTCCCCCAGCCGTCTGCACAGCTTTCGAAGCCTCCCCCGAACACCACCACCACCACAAGGTGGAAGGGGGACACGGAGGTGGCGGACGAGGAGGAGGAGGAGGAGGAGGAGGAGGAGGAGGAGGTGGAGGTGGACCGAGGACCCCCTCCCCCTCCAACTTATGGTGGTGGTGGTGGTGGAAGACAGACCCGTGGTCCCCGGCGTATCACCTTTTTTTTGTTTCGGGAGAGGCCGAGCCTCCCCTAGAGCTCCAAATCCGCCGCACTCTTGAACGTTTCCGCACGCGGGGCGCGGACATCTTCGCCTGGCTCTTCGAGCTCCTCTGGTGCCCCCTTCCGCCCCCTCTCTTGCCGTCGGGGTTCCCACTTCTTCTCATTTTGCGGTGCAGCGGCCGCCCTGCCTCTCTGAGGCGGAACTTTCCGCCGTGCTTTTTCTCGCCTCGTGCGGGGTGCCTCTCCACGAGATCGACCAAGGTACGGCGGATCGGGTCGAGGAGGCGAGGGTTTAGAGGCCTCCTAGATGGGGTCGGAGTAGATGGGGTCGGAGGATCGCGCCGCATCGCCGATACATCGGCGATGTATCGGCGATGTATCGGCGAGGCATCGTCGACGCCGGCGACGCATCGGCGACGTCGACGTGAAGCACATCGGGCTGCACATCAAGCCGCATCGGCGACATCTGGGCGATGTGGCGCGATCCTCCGACCCCATCTACTCGGACCCCATCCAGGAGGAGGAGGAGGAGGCGGAGGAGGAGGAGCCGGAGGAGGAGGATGAGGATGAGGAGGAGGAGGAGGAGGAGGCGGAGGACGAGGAGGAGGAAGAAGAGGAGGCGGCGGAGGAGGAGGAGGAGGAGGAAGAGGAGGAGGCGGAGGAGGAGGAGAAGGCGGAGGAGGAGGAGGGGGAGGAGGCGGAGGAGGAGGAGGAAGAAGAGGAGGCAGAGGAGGAGGCGGAGGAGGAGGAGGCGGATGAGGAGGAGGAGGAGGACGAGGGCCGGGCGGCAGAGCCGCCGTGGTCTCGACGCGGCCCTCCTCCGCAGCAGCACGGGGGCCGGCCCTGCGGGCCGGGTGGCTCGAGCCGGTGCGGCGGGCGCGCCGTGAGCGGGCGAGTCGGGGGGCACCACATCCCGCCGCCTCCCTGGCACGTGCTGTGGCCCCTGCATGACGAGCCCCACCTCGGGTCACAACCGGCGCGACCGTGTAGCGTTCCCGGCGCACCCGTCGCCCACCTCGTGGCCCCTCAGGGAGCTCCGCCCATGGTCTCGGCGAGCGCGACCACATGGCGAGCTCCATCTACGGCCTCGCGACCGCATGGAGTACCCACCGCCTCCCTGGCACGTGCTGTGGCCCTATATGGGACGCACAAAGACATGCTGATACTATCCTTGGAGGCGCGTGTCCGACCCGAACATGCAGTAGACCCCATATGTTAGTCGTTTCCCGAGCGGTGTGGCCAGAAAGCGCCCGCCACGACGCATAGACCATAAGCTTTCTCGGTGCGCGCATCGCCCCTGGGGGGGCGACGTACACGTAGTATTAGTATGTCGGGGTGACGCCGACTATACAAAAAGGCGTCACCTTAGGTAATTCGGTGCGACCGTATGGCGTTCCCGGTACGCCCGTCACACGCTTCGTGGCCCCGCAAGGAGCCCCGCCCATGGTCACGGCGGGCGCGACCGCATGGCGCACTCGCCCCCAAGCCGGCACACACGTCACACGCTTCGTGGCCCCATGGGGGGTTCCATCTACGGCCTCGCGACCGCATGGCGTAACGGCCCCCCGCTTCGGCACTTCCGTCAGCATCGTCTGACCGCTTCCTATCCCCACTGGCATGGCCTTGGCCCCAGTGACCGACTTCCCCCCCCCCAGGTGGGGGTGCATCCTGCTCCCTCAAGGCTTCGCGGGACCTGCCCCCACCTGGTCGTGGTCGTGGTCTTCTTTTTCCATTCATCGGCATGGGGAAAACAAGACTTAGCTGTACCACATCACTTGGTTGGTGAAGCTACGGTGGGATACACAGAACATTCCCGTCGCAGGGCATTACATCCCTTGCTCGCCTGTGGTCGTCGTCGTCGTCGTCGTCGTCGTCGTCGGTCGTGGTCGTGGTCGTGGTCGTCGTATCTCTCGCGCAAGGGTGATAGCGCTAAGGAGGAGGTCTGGGCCCAGGCACCTGGGAACGTTCCCGAAGAGGAAGCGGAGGAGGAGGAGGAGGAGAAGGAGGATGACGAGGACGAGGAGGAGGAGAAGGAGGAAGAGGAGGGCATTTCGGAGGAAGAGGAGGTTCGGCTCGGTCCTTCGGGAAGGCTCGGAAGACGCGAGTCTCAGCTCACAACTGACTTGAAGTTGCCGCCCTCATTGGAAGCGGCAGCCGAGGACGAAGACGACGAGGGGAGCGGAGAAAATCGATCAAGGAAGGGTGATGGCAAATCCGCTCAAAATCCATCCCCTGGTCCCTTCCGGGGTCCGCATGGTGCAAATTGTCACCCCGGATGCCGGATCCGTTCCTGACGGTCCTGGGGGCCGAAAGCGGCCCCCCAGAGGAGACCGAACAAACATGCTCGACACCAGCGCCTCGCACGTGCCCCCTCCCCCTCCCCCTTCCTGCTGGCCGGAACCAATGCTGGGCCACCTCAGACCCCCCAGCCGACCCAAAGCTTCGTCTTACTTCGGCGGCCAGCCCAGCGGGAAAAGACAGAAGGAGAATTCCTTCTCAGAAGGCTCGGAAGTCCCCCGGCCTTCTGAGAGGTGTTCTAAGCCTTTCCCGAGGACGCAGAAAACCGCTCAGAAGGCGCGAGGGCTTCTGACAAATCCCGCCGCCTTCTGAAAAGGCCTTCTCCTTCGAACTTCTCCCCCGCTCACTCGCCGCCGATACATGTGTCGCCGCGCCGCGTGCCCTCAACGCGCCCCAATGAACGATGCCGACACCGCGGCAAACCCCACGGCAAACCCGGCGCAAGACGCGGAGTTTGCCCTGGTGCCCGCGGCGCCCTCTCAAAGACGTAAGGCCGCGCCGATGCTATCCTTGTTATTTGTCATGCTACTCCCTCCCCTGGCGTTGGCAAAGATGGCAGCAAACAGTCTCGCTCCGCCGACGGGCAGGCCCGACGCGCCGTGCGCGTCGAGGCGGTGCTCCGCCTTGTCCCCCTCCTCCTCCTCCTCCTCCTCCTCCTCCTCCTCCTCCTCCTCCTCCTCTCCTCCTTTCTCCTCTCTTCCTCCTCCTCTCTGCTCCTCCTCTTTGCTCCTCTCTTCCTCCTCCTCCAGCTCCTCCTCCTCCTCCTCCTCCTTCCTCCTCCTTCTTCCTCCTCCTCCTTCCTCCTTCTTCCTCCTCCCCATCCGCCTCCTCCTCCTCCTCCTCCTCCTCCTCCTCCTCCTCCTCCTCCCTCCTCCTCCTCATCTCATCCTCATCCTCATCCTCATCCTCATCCTCATCCTCATCCTCATCCTCATCCTCATCCTCATCCTCATCCTCATCATCATCATCATCATCATCATCATCATCATCATCATCATCATCATCATCATCATCATCATCATCATCATCATCATCATCATCATCGTCATCGTCATCGTCATCGTCATCGTCATCAGCTCAGCATCAGCATCAGCTCATCAGCATCACCACATCCTCCCCCTCATCCTCCTTCCTTCTCCTCCTCCTTCCTCCTATAGCTTTCTGCTCCTCTCCCTCCACCTCCTCCTCCTCCTCCAACTCCTCCTCCTCCTCCTCCTCCTCCTTCCTCCTCCTCCTTCCTCCTCCTTCCTCCTTCCTCCTCCTCCTTCCTCCTCCTCTTCCATTATGCTCTCTGCTCCTCCTCCTCCTTCTCCTCCCTCCTCCTCCTCCTCCTCCTCCTCCTCCTCCTCCGCCTCCTCCTCCCTCTCCTACCCCTCCCTCCCTCCTCCTCCTTCTCCTCCTCCTCCTCCTCCTTATGTTCCTCCTCCTCCTCCTCCTTCCCCTCATCCTTTCTCCTCCTTCTTCCTCCTCCTCCTCCTTTCTTTCCTCTCTGCTCCTTCCCCTCCTCCTCCTCCCTCCTTCATCCTCCTCCTCCTTCTCCTCCTCCTCCGTTCTCCTCTCTGCTCCTCTCTGCTGCTCCTCCCCTCGTCCTCCTCCTTCTCCTGCTCTCTCCTCCTCCTCCTGCTCCTCCTCCTCCTCCTCCTCCTCCTCCTC